ACACTCCACGTAGTGGAGGGAAGCTCAACCGAGCGAAATAGCGAAAATCAGCCCTACACACGACAGACCAAAATCAATAACACACAACACCTGACAAACACAACGAGAACTAAATAGGACACTAATGACACTAAATGAAAACAGGTGTGACAACAATCAGACAAAAGCAAACGAACATGAAACATACAACGGTGGCAGCTAGTATTCCGGAGACAACGAACGCCGAAGCCTGCCCGAACAAGGGAGAGAGGCAGCCTCGGCCGAAAACGTGACAGTACCCCCCCCTTGACGCGCGGCTCCAGACGTGCGCCGACTCCGACCTCGGGGACGACCCGGAGGACGCGGAGCAGGGTGCGTCGGGTGCCCATGATGGAATTCCGTCAGGAGTGACGGGTCCAAAATGTCTCTCCTCGGCACCCAGCACCGCTCCTCCGGACCGTACCCCTCCCACTCCACTAGATACTGGAGACCCCCCATCTGACGTCTCGAATCCAAGATGGACCTCACGGAGTACGCCGGTGCCCCCTCGATGTCCAATGGGGGCGGAGGAGTCTCCCTGATCTCACTTTCTTGGAGTGGGCCAGCTACCACCGGCCTGAGAAGGGACACATGGAACGAGGGGTTAATACTTTTATATTCAACAGGTAGCTGTAATTTATAACACACCTCGTTCAACCTTCCCAGGACTTTAAATGGCCCTACAAACCGCCGACCCAGTTTCCGACAGGGCAGGCGGAGGGGCAGGTTTCTGGTAGAGAGCCAGACTCGATCACCAGGTGTGTACACCGGTCCCTCACTGCGGTGGAGATCGGCGCTCGCCTTATGACGTCGGAGGCCCGCTGCAGGTGGACGTGTGCAGCGTTCCATGTCTCCTCCGAGCGCCTCGCCCACTCATCCACCGCAGGAGCCTCGATCTGGCTCTGCTGCCAGGGTGCCAGAACCGGCTGGTAACCTAACACACATTGGAAAGGGGTTAGGTTAGTGGAGGAATGGCGTAGGGAATTCTGGGCCATTTCGGCCCAGGGAACGTACCTTGCCCACTCCTCCGGCCGGTCCTGGCAGTATGTTCTAAGAAACTTGCCCACATCCTGGTTTACACGTTCCACCTGCCCATTACTCTCCGGGTGGTAACCCGAGGTGAGGCTCACCGAGACCCCCAACCGCTCCATAAAGGCCCTCCAGACTCTTGAGGTAAATTGGGGACCTCGATCAGACACAATATCCTCGGGTACCCCGTAGTGCCGGAACACATGGGTGAATAGGGCTTCGGCAGTTTGCAGGGCGGTAGGAAGGCCCGGCATGGGGAGCAAACGACAGGCCTTAGAAAACCGGTCCACAACGACCAGTATAGTGGTATTCCCCTGTGAAGGAGGAAGGTCAGTAAGGAAATCCACCGAGAGGTGGGACCATGGTCGTTGTGGCACGGGCAGGGGTAGTAACTTACCCCTAGGCAGATGTCTAGGCGCCTTACACTGGGCGCACACCGAGCAGGAGGAAACATAAACCTTCACATCCCTTGCCAACGTGGGCCACCAGTACTTGGCACTAAGACAGTGCACTGTCCGGCCGATACCCGGATGTCCAGAGGAGGGTGACGTGTGAGCCCAATAGATCAATCGATCCCGAACCTCGAGCGGAACGTACTTCCGACCCTCCGGGCACTGTGGTGGACTAGGGTCGGTGCGTAACGCCCGCTCGAGCTCAGCATCGACCTCCCACACTACCGGTGCCACCAGACACGACTCCGGCAGTATGGGAGTGGGCTCCACGGACCTCTCCTCCGTGTCATACTGCCGAGACAGCGCATCTGCCTTACCGTTCTGGGACCCAGGGATGTACGTGATCTTAAACGTAAACCGGGTCAAAAACATATTCCATCTAGCCTGCCGAGGGTTTAGCCTCCTCGCTGCCCGGATGTACTCCAGGTTACGGTGGTCCGTCAAAATGAGGAAAGGGTGTTGAGCCCCCTCAAGCCAGTGCCTCCACACCTTTAGGGCCTGTACCACGGCTAACAGCTCCCTGTCCCCTACGTCATAGTTTCGCTCCGCCGGACTGAGCTTCTTGGAATAAAAAGCACAGGGGCGGAGTTTAGGTGGCGCGCCTGATCGTTGTGAAAGCACGGCTCCTATACTTGCCTCAGACGCGTCCACCTCTACCTGAAATGGTAAAGAGAGATCCGGATGCGCCAGCACTGGAGCCGAGGTAAACAGGTCCTTCAGCCTCCCAAATGCCCTGTCCGCCTCGGCAGACCACTGCAGACGCACCGGGCCCCCCTTCAAGAGAGACGTGATGGGAGCTGCCACCTGTCCAAAACCCCGGATAAACCTCCGGTAGTAATTCGCAAACCCCAAAACCTGCTGCACCTCCTTCACAGTGGTTGGTGTTTGCCAATTACGCACGGCTGACACCCGGTCTACCTCCATCTTCACCCCTGACGCAGACAACTGATACCCCAAAAAGGAGACCGACTCCTGGAAAAACAGACACTTCTCTGCCTTAACATACAGGTCGTGCTCCACCAGCCTCCGCAACACTCTGCGCACCAGGGCCACATGCTCGACACGGGTAGGCGAGTACACGAGAATGTCATCTATGTACACCACGACCCCCTGCCCCTGCATGTCCCTGAAGATCTCATCCACGAATGATTGGATAATGAACTGTGAAAAGAGTCCTGGTGGCATGTCTGGTGGGGTAAGTGTGTGTGTCAGAGCTGTGTGTAAGTTGACTATGCAAACAATTTGGGATTTCTTATCAAAATAAATGTCTCACATTATTGCCCATCACGCTTCTGTCGAGATGGAAAGAGCGATGACCAGATCACCTAAACAAACATTGAAACATTGAGATAGAAACATGATTGAAGGATTTTTACTCAGAGGGTGAAACCTTGAGGAAAACTGCAGTAAGTTTGTAGAAGCCTTTTGGAGAAGGCGAAACATGCTTACCAGCGCAGTGGTGTTGTATCGTTCATTTCCTTGTAACAAAGAAAATAAACATTCTGAAATGTAAGTTGACTGGAATTCTATCAATGTTCCGTCTTTAGAAATCAGTCTTCTCTGATGTTTCAAATGGGACTTTCAGTTTGTATTTTCTCTTTGTCTATTCTATTAACTCAAATAGGCTACATTTAAAGACATAAATATCTCTAAAGGTAAACTTGCAAACTCATTGCCTAAGATTTGGTCAACTTTTTTTAGGCATACACATGTGAAAGGATTGCTGTTTCTGTCCTAAACAGAGGCAACCTGGGGGTTCTTAATGCAGTCGCACCCTTTAATTTGGGACCAATTAAGTCATCACTAGTTACCACAACCACAAAGTCAAAATTGGATATTGTAAAAATTCGTGAAAGCAAACAGTTGCTTTTTGGTCTTCATTTAAGGTTAGGGTTAGGCATAAGGTTAGCAGTGTGGTTAAGGTTAGTTAGTATATGAAAACTACTCTTCTCAAACATATGTTTCTCTTTCTGTTCATTTGAAGGTCAACCCCCTTATACCTGTAATCTGCAGGGGGAAATCTAAGCCAAAGGGAATCCCCTACCTACATGTCCATTAAGGCACACCACACTTTCTTTGTGGTACTGTTGTCCAAGCCATTTCCTGGAGTATAGCCAGCACCACCCTCTTTGTCAGGTGATTTCCACAAAGACTGACCTTCTAGTGCTACTTGAACAGGTGACAACCAAACAAGTGAGCATCAACAGATCATTAGATTTCTGCAACACCTATGCTAGCTCAGGTCGATGTGGCAACAAATGTTGTTAATGTATTTCAGAACTTGTTATTCATCAATGTTTTGTCATGGAAATTTACCAGACACATATGGCAAAACTTGAAAAAATGTAGGTGTTTATTTAAGGGTGAATACAATGTACATATATGCAGATAAAATACAAATAACATTTCTATATACACTATCAGTCAGAAATGTGGACACACCTACTCAAAACGCATTGTAGAATAATAGTGAAGACATCAAAACTATGAAATAACACATATGGAATCATGTAGTAACCAAAAAAGTGTTGAACAAATCAACATATATTTTATATATTCAAATAGCCACCCTTTGCCTTGATGACAAGGAATGCCTGGAATGCTTCTCCAACAGTCTTGAAAGACAATTCTAGTGCAAAACATTTTTTGTCACAATAAAGTAAGAAATCTGTATCATAGATATTTATAACTAACACAGCATAGTTCATCTGTCTTGTTTTTAACAGGAGCAAATAACCCATAGTGTGCAGAACAAGCAAGGAGGTGGGCAGAGCCAAGCACAAGCTAGCGAGATCTTATTGCCGCGTTCTAGCATGTAGTTGCATATTTCCATTAGAGAATGTCTTCTCTGTGAAGTGCACGTTTTCAATAACTCACTGTTAGCTAGTCCATAACAGGCAAGAACAAAACAAGAGACATTTAACATAAAGAAAAAACAGAGATGCATACAGAGGTGCATTGGCATTCTTCATTGTGAATCCTCCCTCAGTTGGCTACAGTATCACTTTGGTTGGTATTCTAATCAATAAATAATATATTATGTCATGCAAAAAGAACACCTGATATGGCTAGTGCAATTGTTCTTTGTAAATCACAAATTCATTAACAGACTAACCTGTACCCCCTCAAATTGACCCAGTGTTATTTTATTGTGTTACTTTTTTTAAACTTTAGTTTATTTAGTAAATATTTTCTTAACTCTTAGTTTTCTTAACTGCATTGTTGATTAAGGGCTTGTAAGCATTTCACGGCGCATGTGACAAATACCATTTGATTTGAGATATTGTTTGTATATTATTTCATACCAAGGGATAGATCAATGGAAACAGCCCTCCTCCACATCTACTGCTCAACGTCAACTCCACATCTACCCTCCAGGACTTGGGCTTGCCGTTGTAGGCGACGTTCAGGCTTCCCGTCAGGTCGCTTCAGTAGGAAACTCCTCTGAAGTTTGCCCATGGTGTCTGTGCTCTTGAGTACCAAGGGGATGCTTTTGCCGTCTTAGCCCTTAAGCACGGTGACAGTTACATCGGAGGCTCGGGTCGGTTCAGGGTCTTTGACAACCAGCAGAGAGATGTAAGATGTGTTCAGGAATGTTGGATCGTACGGAACAGGGATCGGAGGATCTTCACTGGGTCTAACATGGAGTCTAAAAAGGAAAGGATGGAGAGAAATAAAGAGAGAGAGGAAGGGGGATGAGGAAGGGAGGGAGAGCGAGAGAATGAGAGAGTGTGCGATTGGAGAGTGAGATGCTGAAAAAATAGGCTTTATCAAGTCAGTTAATCCTCGTCGTCCCTTTTTGTCACTGCATCAATAAACATACCTTTTGCTATGTTTAAAAAAATGCAAGAGATAAAAAATGGAATGTGCCGAAGATTTGTTTCTTTCTTGCAATGCACTTTAGTTCAATTTTCTGTTGAAGTCAGTCATTTATCAGTAGAGTGGATACCATGCTAAATAATTGTGAATGATAAAAGATACTCCCTCCACACGTTTGAATTTTGCAAATGTATTTTAGGCACACAAAATGTATAATTGATGGCAAGTACATATCAACAATTTTAACAATACCAAGTTACCAACCATGACAGCTTCCAAATCTGTGACAGTACATTGTGGAAGTACTGGTGCATGGAGAAAACAACAGATAATAGTGTATAGAAAATATAATAAAACATTACCGTTAGCGATTGCAGCTGTGCCGTTGCCATTTTGCAGAGGGTTTGTGAAGAAGACTCCTAAACCTTTGAGTGTGTGTGGCTGTTACTTGCACTGTGAATCTCTGGGGGATGTCCAAATGTTGCTGAAGTCAGGGCGAAGACTCTGGGTCCCAATCTTCAATGTTTTTTGCCTGTCTGGCCACCATTCCCCTATCTACAGTGTAGCCAGCATGATCCTATTTAATAGGTGGTTTCCACGAAGACTCTCCGGAGTCCTGGTACCAGTCCCATCAGATAGGCAACAACCATCAATTGATAATGGTCTGGCAACAACCTGAACCAGAAACAGAGCAACAAGAGAAACACTACTGCCAAGTTGTTGTGAGTTAAGAAATGATATTCAATGCAAACCTCCAAAGCAATGCAGAAATGTTGACAAGGATTATTGGGAGTGATATGCAACCGTTTAATGCATCAGTATGATATTGTGAAACAAATATGTGAGAGGACTTTGACTGTGTGTGCGTGCGTGTGTTTGCCTGAGAAAGTGAAAGAGATGAAGAGGTCACATGACTTTTAGTAACAATTATAAAACTAAAGTGGAAACCACTGCATTTCCAGCACTCATTTCTTTAAAAACACAAGTTTAGGTTGAACTATGTTTATACGTTAGTGTTTTAAAAGTCATTAAAATGATTGGTAACACTAATGTAATTGTTAAGTTTATTCCTATTCGATCAAAACTGTTATCGACAAGTGTCTGGGGTAACACTAGTCCTAGCCTCGACTCAATAAAAATCCACATAAAAATCCTGAAAATCCACATAAACATAGCAACCACTACAGTTTCAAAATCTATGAAAAGCATTGCAGAAGTAGGCTTCTCCTGTGCTGCATGGAGCAAACTGCAGACAATACCATCTCAAATGTTAAACCTCAGCACCTATACCTTTGACCATTGGAGTGCATTTGACATTATTACTGGTGGTCAGTATGTGAAAACTACTCTTCTCAAACATATATGTTTCTTGTTCTGTTCCTTTGAAGTTAAGGATTTATTTGATACCTGTAATCTGCAGGGGAAAATCTAAGCCAAAGGGAATCCCCTACATGTCAATTAAGGCACACCACACTTTCTTTTTGGTACTTTTTGCCAAGCCATTTCCTGGAGTATAGCCAGCACCATCCTCTTTGTCAGGTGATTTCCATGAAGACTGTCCTTTACGGTAGAATGAAACACCTATATACCTTAAATGCTTATGGATTGAGAACCAGTTGAAGGGTTGAGACAGAGCAGAGACATTTCTGTGCTTTTCATAACCTCCCTGCAGCTGGTCTGGGTATGTCAATGACATGTGATGGAGATACAACTCCTCGTGGTGGCTGTGTGGAGATTGGAGTTACAATGGAACTAGTGTTATCATTTGTTTGTGCTTATGACCTGACACATAGCCACATGCACATAATCTCAAGGGCCAGGGAGGATGGTAAATGATAAATGCTTAAATGTATGTGGTTGAGAATGGGTTACGGATGACATGTTTAAACCATGTTTAAGTATTAATTGATATGTTTTATAATGTGTTATGAAATGATAAAGGTAAAACAGAATGAACATGATTGATACTTTGTACTTCAGATATGTCTGGATAGTGAATATAGTCAAAACAGAGTGTGATTGTTCTTTAATGTACGTATGTACATAATTTTTTGAGTCACGCCACTAATAAGATACAGAGGCCCCATTTAGAGAAGCGCAAGTAGCCCCTGTGAGTAGCCAACATGTGATACTGAAAGATGTTATTCATTCACATAGAGAGGAGTAAATATGTATGTTGTATCAGTATGACTATGCATTTGTGTCTGTATAAAAGGAGAGCTCCGGTTCAGGGCAAGTAGTTGCTCCATAGAGCAAGCTCGGCTTTGTTATGCAAATAATAAAGTCTAATTTTTGGATTCACAAGCTCCAGTCTCTTGAGAGATATTTTTGAGTTGACTACTTTTGAGTCAAATATTTCTACGACACCTTCTAATGCCACTAGAACAGGTGACGACCAAACGAGTGAGCATCAACAGATCATTAGATTTGTGCAACACCCTTGCTAGCTCAGGTCGACGTGGCAACAAGTGTTGTTAATGTATTTCAGAACTAGTTATTCGTCAATGTATTGTCATGAAAATGTCACCAGACACAGATGGCATATACTTGAAAAAATGTAGGTGTTTATTTAAGGCTGAATACAATGTCCATAAATGCAGAAAATAAAAATTAAAATATGTTTAAACATTATTTATTTTGTTCATCGTCCTCCTGATTGGCTAGCCTTATTGGTTGTCATTGAAAACATAGTTCTATTGCACACATTTTTTTAAAAACAATAAGGTAAGAAATCAATGCTAAGCTATTGCAGATACAGTAGTAGCCTACTGTTAAACAACAACGGCATATCAAAATTATCAATAAAGCATCACAAACGGCACATTTAACATGGTGAACTAACTCACATTGATTGGTGTCCGGCTTATATTTCAATTCATTAGCTAGTACCAGGCAAGAGCAAAACAAGACAGTTAAATCAGTCAATCAATCAAATGTATTTATAAAGCCCTTTTTAAATCAGCAGATGTCACAAAGTGCTTATACAGAAACCCAGCAATGCTGATGTAGAAGCATGGTGGCTAGAAGAGCTCCCTAGAAAGACAGGAACCTAGGAAGAAACCTAGAGCGTAACCAGGCTATGAGGGTTGACCAGATCCCTTATGGCTGTGCTGGGTGGAGTTAAAGTAACTGCCCAGTGAAAATCTCACTTTTAGAAGTTATGCATATTAATGCATATCCAAATAATGTTGTTGATTTGTCCTATACTTGTATTTGTGGCCAAAGCATAAATTGGAGAAAAAAAAATAACTTCAAACTTGTATCTCAAACAGGCCGTTTAAAAAACTCTTGCTATTTCCTCATAGAAATTATGTGATCTCCCTTACGAGGATGAGCTGGCCAATCAGCGGTCTACTCGCATGAATATTTTTAATGACCGGCATACGCCAACACCATTCTGTTGTTGGTGTATGCCCACACCATTCGAACACAGAAAAGCTGCATTTTAACATACTTAATTAATATTTCTTGGAAGAAAAACTATTTCACTCTTATTGTAAGTATTTATAGGTCATATTTCATAGAAGTCTGGAAACACTGGATAATTGCTTTAAAATAAAGAAAGGACACAGATGCATTGTCATTTTTCATTGTGCATTCTCCCTCAGTAGGCTACAGCGTCACTTTGATTGGTATTCTAATCAATAAATATTCTACAATGTTGTGCAAAAAGAACACCTGATATGGCTAATGCAAATATTCTTTATAGATAACAAATTCATTGACACATATTGTTCATATTGCATAACAAGGAATAGATGAACGGAAACAGCCCTCCTACACATCTACTGCTCCACGTCTACCCTCCACGGCACCTCTGAAAGGTGATGAAGGTAGCCCCATTCTTCACCCCCAGCTCTCCCAAGCTCTGGTGCCCCTGGACGGGCTTGCCGTTGTAGGCGAGGTTCAGGCTTCCCGTCAGGTCAGGCCGCTTCTGTAGGAACTTCCTCTGAAGTTTGCCGATGGTGTCTGTGCTCTTGAGGACCAATTGGACTCTTTTGCCGTCTGAGCCATTGAGCACGGTGACAGTGAAACGGGAGGCACGTGTCGGTTCAGGGTCTTTGACAACCACCAGAGAGGTGTGAGTTGCGTTCAAGAATGTTGGATCGTACAGAATAGGGATCGGAAGGTCTCCTCTGGGGCAATGCTGGAGTCTAAATTGGAAGGCCTGGGACAGAGAGAAAGGAAAAGAGATAGAGAGAGGGAGGAATGGAGGGAGAGAGAGAGAATGTGAGAATGTGAGAGATGAGAGAGATATGGCATAAATACAGCCAATATCATCAAGAACGACAAGGTTGTTAATCCTCTTCATCCTTTTCTGACACACTAGATCATCTCTTTTGCAATGTAAAAAATCACGGAATATGCCGTAGATTTGTTTATTTCATGAACTGCACTATGCCTGCTTTCAGTTTCTGTTGCAGTCAGTCATGCATATGAACAGAGTTGACACCATGATAAACAATTGTGAATGATAAAAGAAAAAACAGCTTTCACATTTTCAAAATTGATGACCAATACATACAGTATCTCTTTAAAAAATATATATCTAAACAATACTATGTTACCAACCACTACAGCTTTAACATCTATGATATTATATTGTGGAAGTACTGTTGCATGAAAAAAACTATAATATTGTATAGAAAAACACCTAATAGCCTTACCATTGGCCATTGTAGCTGTGCCGTTGCCATTTTGCAGAGGGTTTGTGAAGAATACTCCTCAACTTTATATTTTCCTCTTTCACCTTGGAATGTGTGACTGTGACTGTGTGTGACTGTAACTTATACTAAATCCGTAGGGGAGGTCCAAAAGTGGCAGAAGCCAGAAGGAAGTCTCTAGATCCCCAAATTCAAAGTTTTTTTCTTACCATTTGGGCACCATTCCATTCTCTGGAGTGTAGCCAGCATGATCCTATTTGCCAGGTGGTTTCCTGGTACCAGTGCCATCAGATACGCAACAGTCATAGATGTATAACTCTCTAACAACAACATGCACCAGGAACAGAGCAACAAGAAAAACCTGACTGACAAGTTGTTGTGAGTTGGTAATCACCGGCTGAATTAGGGGCCTTGTGAGATGGGCATGATAAAAATAAAAATAATATGTTTTGTATACAGTACCAGTCAAAAGTTTGAACACACCTACTCATTTATTTTTTACTATTTACTACATTGTAGAATAATAGTGAAGACATCAAAACTATGACATAACACATATGGAATCATGTAGTAACCAAAAAAGATGTTAAACAAATCCAAATATATTTTATATTTGAGATTCTTCAAATAGCCACCCTTTGCCTTGATGATAGCTTTCCACACTCTTGGCATTCTCTCAACCAGCTTCATGAGGAAGCCACCTGGAATACATTTCAATAAACAGGTGTGCCTTGTTAAAAGTTAATTTGTGGAATTTATTTCCTTCTTAATAAGTTTGAGTCAATCAATTGTGTTGTGACAAGGTAGGGTTGGTATACAGAAGATAGGTATATTTGGTAAAAGACCAAGTCCATATTATGGCAAGAACAGCTCAAAAAAGCAATAAGAAATGACAGTCCATCATTACATTAAGACATGAAGGTCCGTCAATACGGAACATTTCAAGAACATTGAACGTTTCTCCAAGTGCAGTCGCAAAAATCATCAAGCGTAATGATGAAACTGGCTCTCATGAGGACCGCCACAGGAAAGGAAGACCCAGAGTTACCTCTGCTGCAGGGGATAAGTTCATTACAGTTATCAGAAATTGCAGCCCAAATAAATGCTTCACAGAGTAACAGACACATCTCAACATCAGCTGTTCAGAGGAGACTGTGTGAATCAGGCCTTCATGGTCGAATTGCTGCAAAGAAATCACTACTAAAGACACCAAGAAGAAGAAGAGACTTGCTTGGGCCAAGAAACGAAATCTGTCCTTTGGTCTGATGAGTCCAAATTTGAGATTTTTGGTTCCAACCGCCGTGTCTTTGTGAGATGCAGAATAGGTGAACGGATGATCTCCGCATGTGTGATTCCCACCGTGAAGCATGGAGGAGGAGGTGTGATGGTGTGGGGGTGCTTTGCTGGTGACACTGTCAGTGATTAATTTAGAATTCAACTCATACTTAACCAGCATGGCTACCACAGCATTCTGCAGCGATACGCCATTCCATCTGGTTTGCACTTAGTGGGACTATAATTAGTTTTTCAACAGGACAATGACACAACACACTTCCAGGCTGTGTAAGGGCTTCATCAGATGACCTGGCCTCCACAATTACCCAACCTCAACCCAATTGAGATGGTTTGGGATGAGTTGGACCACAGAGAGAAGGAAAAGCAGCCAACAAGTGCTCAGCATATGTGGGATCTCCTTCAAGGCTGTTGGAAAAGCATTCCAGGTGAAGCTGGTTGAGAGAATGCCAAGAGTGTGCAAAGCTGTCATCAAGGCAAAGGGTGGCTACTTTGAAGAATCTCAAATATAAAATATATTTTGATTTGTTGTCACGCCCTGACCTTGAGAACCCTGTTATTTCTCTAGTTAGTTTGGTCAGGGTGTGAATGTTGACATATCTATATTATAGATTTCTATGTTGGCTGGGTGTGGTTCCCAATCACAGGCAGCTGTCGATCAATGTCTCTGATTGGGGATTATACTTAGGCAGCCATTTTGCCTACCTTTAGTTGTGGGATCTTGTTTCTGTTTCTGTTTAGGCTTGTTACTGTTAGCCTTTAGAACCTCACGTTCTGTTGCTTTTGTTATTTTGTCGGTGTTTATAATAATAAACGACTATGTACGGATACCACGCTGCACCTTGGTCCGACTATTTATACAACGAACGTGACAGAAGATCCCACCACCAATGGACCAAGCAGCGTGAACAGGAGGAGCAGACATCATGGACATGGGAGGAGATATTAGACGGAAAAGGATCATAGACGTGGGAGGAGATCCAGGCAGGAATGGATCGCCTTCCTTGGGAGCAGACGGAGACAGCGAGGGAGAGAAAGCGGTGACTCAAAAGGTCCCGATCACTAAGGAAGCCCAAGAGTCAGCCCCAAGAAAATGTTTGGGGGGGGGCACACGTGGTGGTGGGCAAAGCAGCAGGAGGCCCTGAAAGACCTGCAGCTCAGCACTCTGAGAGAGGAGACCACCACCTTACGGGGGCTGATAGATAAGAGGGAGCAGGACCTCTCCCTTCAGAAGGAGGTGCTGCAGGAGGCCCACAGGGAGAAGGAGTCAGTGGATGCACGGAGAGAGGAGCTGGCCAGGCAACAGGAGGAGCTGAGAGAGGAGCCAGGTTTAGCAGAGCCAACTCCCCGCACTCGCTTTGAGGAGCGTGTGACCGTGCAGGCACCAGGCTATGCGCCGGCTTTACGCACTGTGCTGCCAGTGCGCCTTCACAGACCGGTACGGCCCGTGCTTGCTCCTCGCACCAAACCAGTGGTGCGTGTCTCCAGTCCTCTACGGCCTGTGCCTGCTCCACGCACCAAACCAGGTGCATGTCGCCAGCCTGGTACGCCCCGTACCTACTCCTCACACCAAACCAGTGGTGCGTGTCTCCAGTCCTGTACGGCCCGTACCTGCTCCTCGCACTAAACCAGTGGTGCGTGTCTCCACTCCAGTGCCAGAGTAGTCCGCTCCACCGGGGTCCAGTTCAGCTCCGGTCAGCTGCTCCACTCCAGTGCCAGAGCAGTCCGCTCCACTGGTGCCTAGTCCAGCTCCGGTCAGCTGTTCCAGTCCAGTGCCAGATTAGTCCACTCCACCGGGGTCAAGTTCAGCTCCGGTCAGCTGCTCCACTCCAGTGCCAGAGCAGTCCACTCCACCGGTGCTTGGTCCAGCTCCGGTCGGCTGCTCCACTTCAGTGCCAGAGCAGTCCGCTCCACCGGTGCCTAGTCCAGCTCCGGTTATCTGCTCCCTACCAGAGCCGGGGCAGTCCGCTCCACCTGGGTCTGAGCCGGATCCAGACGTCAACCCCTCTCCAGGGTCGGGGCCTCCCACACCAGGGTCCAGACAGGGCTTAGTGCATCGTGGGAGGACTGAGAGGGGAGGCATCGCGCCAGGGTCCAGACTGGACCAGGCAGGAAAGGAGAGGAGTGTACTGCGTCCGAAGCCGGAGCCGCCACCGAGGCTAGATGCCCACCCGGAACCTCCCCTATTGAGTAAGGTTTTTGCGGCCGGAATCCGCACCTTTGGGGGGGGGGGGATCCCTGTTATTTCTGTAGGTAGTTTGGTCAGGGTGTGAATGTTGACATATCTATGTTGGCCGGGTGTGGTTCCCAATCAGAGGCAGCTGTCGATCATTGTCTCTGATTGGGGATTATACTTAGGCAGCCATTTTCCCTACCTTTAGTTGTGGGATCTTGTTTCTGTTTAGGCTTGTTGCTGTTAGCCTTTAGAACTTCACGTTCTGTTGCTTTTGTTATTTTGTCGCTGTTTATAATAATAAACGACTATGTACGCATACCACGCTGCACCTTGGTCCGACCATTTATACAACGAACGTGACATTTGTTTAACACTTTTTTGGTTACTGCATGATTCCATATGTGTTATTTCATAGTTTTGATGTCTTCACTATTATTCTACATTGTAGAAAATAGTAAAAATTAAGAAAAACCCTTGAATGAGGAGGTGTGTCCAAACTTTTGACTGGTACTGTATATAAATTCTCTGCTTGAACCCAAGCTGATATTCAATCCAAACCTCCAAAATAACACAGAATTGTTGAAAAGGGTTATTGGGAGTGATATGCAACAATTTAATGCATCAGCATGATAACCTTGATAGACCTTGACCTGTGTGTGTACGTGTATTTGCCTGAGAGAGAAAGGGAAAGAGATGAAGAGGTCATATGACTGTTACTAACAATAGCTAATAAAACAACAGTGGAACCCACCACATTTCCAACCATAATTTCTTTGAAAAAACAAGTTTAGTTTGAACTATGTTTATACACTGAAAAAATATATAAATGCAACATGTAAAGTGTTCGTCCCATGTTTCATGAGCTGAAATAAAATATCCCAGAAATGTTCCATATGCACAACATGCTTATTTCTCGAAACTTTTGTGCACACATTTGTTTACATCCCTGTTAGTGAGCATTTATCCTTTGTCAAGATTACCCATCCACCTGACAGGTGTGGCGTATCAAGATGCTGATTAAACATCATGATCATT